TGGCAATGGCAGCTTCTTCTCCATTATTTTTTCTGGATATTTGAGATTTCTGACTACATTAAAAAAATGACCACCAGAATATCCATCACCCATTTGCATCTCAAAATATGGGACTGTATAACCCATTTCACACTTATTCCACCTGAATAGTCCCATCTGGCCCAAATTCCAAGTAGATGCCAGCACTTATTTTCACTCTTACCTTAACATCTCAGCAGTTGGCAAGGAAATATGAATTCTTACTCTAAGGTGTTGGAGGGTCTTTTTAAACTAAATATAGTTGTTTTGAATAGATATTACTAAATTCTGATTTTTTTTGTCTACTTACCTTTTCTAGAGAACCACATACAAAATATATCAACAGAGGTTTCATAGAGCATTTCAATTGAGGATTTCATTGTTTAGCCTTCAAGATCATTTAAATTACGGGAAATTACCAATAAGAATGCCATGAATATCTCTACAGCCTTTGGTATGACAACTGGAGGTACTCATTTCTAGTAACTTATTTCCTGAGATGTATATTTTTAATAGCTAATAATTTCTAGTATAACCAAGACTTTTCTCTTAGAATCCTGTCTCAAACACACTTTGAAGCCCACAAGAGGAATCTGTCATTGTTGTCCAACTCTTCACCGAGAGGGGAAGAATTTGTTCATGAAACATCTCCAGAGCTGGAGTGACTGATACCACAGAGCATAGCCATTATATAAATATTGCAGAATTACTCCCTTCACAAATGATCTGGAAACATGATCATGGGTCCTACTGAGATACAAGGGAAGCTGTCATAATTCTAAAAAGACATAGACTGTTTTGATAAAACAAGAAGAAAAGTTTCCAGGTTGAGAAAGCTCATTTCCTAAGTAGAAGAGCACTGCACTGATCCTTACCTAGCTCTTAATGACATACTAGGCTGGACAGCAGGTGCAGGCTCCAAGTTCCCTGGGAAACTACAGCAGGGGCCTAGACCAAAGTTCCATTCTGGACTAGAGCAGTGGGTTTCTTTTCCTTGGAAATCAGGGTACTTAGGGAGAGCAGCCTGCTCTGTGCCCAGCTTCCACCAAGACACAAGGCTGATGTCTGGCTGGAGCACTCAAGTTCAGCAGCCTGGAAGAGCTCCAAGTTCTCTAGAGTGTTCAAGGGAACACAGTGTTCCTGACAAATTCAGGCACAGACAGAATGAAATACAATCTTCTATTTTGCTTATGAAGTTGAGCAGCGTTAAACCTTGTTCGTAAAAGCTACAAATGTTGGTTGCTCACTCTTGGTCTTCTGCCTCTGGCAGCTGTAACTAGCAGGTGAGTCACACACAGAGCTCTCCCAAAGGGCTGATGAACTTGAAATAGAGCACTACAGTCATCATATATAGGGCTACACTCAGACCATGGATCCTATTCATTCCCTAAGGAAAGATAGAAAGATGAAGAGCCGCTCTTTAGGGTTGGTCAAAGACTGAAGGAGGAGGCAAAAGTGTGGTTGACATATAAAGACTCCACAGTGGTGGCTGTTGGCCATTACTGCTCTTCTGAGCTGTCTGAAGCCTTTTCCAGGCTAGGACGTCAAGATATTTTATGGCCTCTCCTCTGGTCTCAAGATGGGACTGACTGTGCCAGTCTCTCTCCTGAGAGACAGCAGCCTAAACTGCTCTCTTGAAAAATTATAGAGGCTCTGCAGCCTCCCCAGGCAATGTCCCCCACATTTCACTGTTATATAACTGAATGCTCCTTTCCTGCAATTTAAGTCCATTTGTTCTTGAAGCTGGAGAACAGCTTGTCCCTTCCATTTTGCAGCTATTTCTGTGTGTTTGAAAAAGGTTTTTGTATCTCCCCTCAGTCTCCTCTACTCCAAACTATGCAATCACAGCCTCCCAGTTGATCACACAGAAGCCAAGCTGCTGCTGGCTGGTGATAGCCTTCAGTAACTGCTGACTGGACTGGATTTGTACCAGCAGCCTGTAGGTGAAAGCCTTCAGCATCTTTAGCTCTCTGAGCCAGGCTGTCCTTTCAAAGACGTGAAACTTTTTTCTGTAATCCATTACAGCATATCACTAAATACTTACTACAGTGCAATAAATTTCTGGAATTTTTTCTATCACATTAGGATATCCTAACAAGAGGAAAGGAAAAGACACTTTATTTCACGAAAGTGCATTTTAGGGCCAAACTTAAAACAGGATTCCCAACAGGTCTTGAAGAGTGGAGAGGGAAAACGCAATATTTTATGTTAACACCTTCCGCATTCCACCCCCTTTACTGAGCAAATTAAATGAAACGCATGAACCATGTCTTGGTTTGCAAATGAAACTTGGTATTTGTATTTGCTGTCATGTCTCAGAGTGTTGTTTTTCATTTTAGGCTTTGCATGGTAGTAAACACTGCAACGGTTTACATTCATTAAGCTCGGGCCCATTTACTCTGTGCAGGCAAAGCAAGTGCATATATCTCAGACCCATAAAGCATCAGTTCAGAATTACACAGGAAATAAATGAGACTAAGCCAGAAGTCCAATTTCCAGAGTCCAGCTCACTAAAGCTAAACAAGTACCATATATAAATATGGCCTATTCCAAATAAAATGTTAGTGTAATTTGATAACTGTCAATAATTCCCTCATTATGCCTAAATGAGCTTGTCATCCAAGGAGATTGCTGCATGGCTGATCTTAATTTGCTAATAAAAACCACACAGAAGAATTTCAGCTAAGCTGAAACTATGTGATTCATAAAAGTGCAACAGTGCACTTTTTAAAGCATTCCTTCCCAGTCCTGGCTCCTGACTGGCTGAAGCCCAAAGCCAGTTTGCTCTGCAGCCTGTAAGATGGCAGCCTTGCTGTGTAAGAACAATGAGTGATTGTCTCTCTAAATCACTATTATTCCTTAGCCCATTATAGTTAATTTATTTTTAATCATGTTGTATAATAGAAATAAAATCATTGGATTAAGCATATATCTAGCAGTGGGAGCCCATTATCCTTTGACAATGTTCTGTGTCATTGACATTATATCTTCACTGTAGACAGTTTCCTTGCCATCATTAGTACTAGAATGACTATTGGATTTCAAGGGTTTCTCCCTAATCCATAATGAGATTTACTTGCTAACAGCACAAAACAAAACAAAGATATGCTTCTATTGTTTTACTGCTATGGAATTCTTATTTTAAGCTATTCAGAAAAGTTAAATATAAATCCAGATATTATAAGTATTTAAAGTTTTTCTGCATCATTCTGATTCAAGGGAAAGCCTTGGTAACTTTGCAAGCTTTGAATCTTTGTTGCTTATTGTGGCTTTATTTTACTTAACCAAGCAACAATACCTTGCCAGTTCTTGAACTAAGTAAGAGTTACTATTTCTTGCACAATGATTTTTTCAGACTGGTTAAAGCAAATCTCAGTACAGTCCATTTTCTCCAGAAAGGGCTACAAGGGGTTCATCTGATTCCAGAATGAAAGAAAGAGGGAGAAAGAATGAAAGAAAGAGGGAGAAAGTTTCCTGCTAAGGTTGCCAGCAATTCCTCTGTGTTAAGGGCTAGCTAAGAGTCAGCACTAATGTTGGGAGGTTAAAAACTCCTCAAGCATCCTGATCCCCATGGGATAACTCAACAGCTCTTTGTTTGTACCAATGGCAGTCACAGTTGAATCTAAAAGTAGATTTTTCCACACCCTATTAACAGCAGCATTAGAATGCAGCAGGGACCATCCACAGAAAAAAGCCTTTTCTGTTATCTCACAGTTATCTTTGAGGAGGTGGCAGACATCCCTGTGAAAATTATCCTTATAGCTTGCCTCTTATTTAAGGATATGCTGGTACTATCAAGTGGTGCCTTTTTAATGCTGAAATTGCTAGCAATATTTAAGAGTCTCTGCACGACTCTTTCAGCTGGGAGAGCAGCTTCAATAGTTACCTATTTTCCATATATGTAGACAAGCTGTGACACTTTCACCCTTATTGACATGATCTGCATAAGCCATGTGGTTTCCATTAAGAAGGGTCCACACAATATAGTCAACTCTCCATTATCTTGGCTAATAGGAGAATAGAATAACCCAGATAAAGGAAAGACATGCATAATTATTACTTCCAGATAAGAGCCAGCTCAAATATTTCTGCACTGTGCTCCCCAGACAGAGCTTGTACTTCTGTCAGAGCTTGCCAGCTTAGAGTTTATTAAGTCAGGCATTACCTGCATCCATCTGATACAAGCAAGGCAGCTTGGGTGTTCCTATGATTTAATCACTCCACAAATACTCTAGTAACTGAAAATCATCTCAGCCATAATTAAGTAACAACTTCCTTATTCACCCTTTTATATGTTCTGATACTGGCACACTGTAGACCCAGTCAAGCATGGCCAAATCAAGGTTGAGTGTAGAATAATGAGGAAAGGCAAACTATGCCTGAAACACAAGAGGAGTTAAGTTCAAGACACAAGGGAATGCAGAAGACATACAAGGATGTAGAAGGACTTTGGATTCACATGTAACAGTGACATTAAAACAAGTGCTTAATCTCTTATTTCCAGATAGCAATCTCAGAGGAAGCACTCTCAGGACTGTCACAGGTAACACATGTGAACTACAACTACCTTTCTACATGAACTGTCAGAGGTTTCTTTTTTTAGTGTGTTGCAATTGCTCAGTCACATTGAACATTTGTCACTTGTGGGTTCTCATTATGTATAATCTTCACAGACCACTTAGTACCAATACATAACCTTCCTGATCTCTGATAGCTACTGGTACATAAATTGTATTGTTCTGTCACGAGAGACACTAAGTTCTGTAACAGATATATGGACAAAAGAGTGTCTTTACCGTTAGAGAAAGAAATACTGTTTTCTTACAAAGAAAATTAAAATGTGGCAAACAATTTTTTTTCTGGATTCTTATGGAAGGGAAGGGATAATGAAGAAATAAAGTCAGGCCTAATGAAATCAGCAACACCATTTCTTAAACATTGAAGTGAATCATTTTATGGAAACCAAACTGTTGCCAGGAAAGTTTTTTAATGGTATACTTGTACATGACATTGTGCTGAAGAATTGATGATTACATTCTGCCACATTCCATGTTTCATTTACAAATTAGCATTGCCTTGGTTTGTCTGCACATTACAGTTAGACAGAGCTACACAATAATGCAAGCCACAGGCCAAGCTGTAAAGGGAAAACTGATGGCTCTGATAAATTAGCCATCTCATGTAACTGGCTACAGAAAGAGCAACTGACAGCAAATCACAGTGCCAAACATATCAAATCCCTAAATATCTGTTCATTTTGCTTAAAGCATCACATACAGTGTTTAGATCACTGCGGAGGTCCTGGACAACATTTTCTATACTCCTGGTATCCTTCAGAATCTCAATGCTTTGCGTGTATGGATTGAAATACACAGAGAAGGGACGATTGATTGATTTGGCGAAGTCCCTGAAAGGAAAAAAAGAAAATTAACTTCCTTTTTTTTTCCCAGCCACTAAAGAAGAGAAAATTAGATTTTTGAGTCAGGGAAAATAATTTACCTCATCTTTTCTTTGGCCTCTTCAAAACTCTCTGAAACAAAGTAAACTTCCTGGAAAGTAGTGATAAGGCATTCTTGCAAACAGGTTGTCTTTGGATCGAATGTTTTCACATTGGCCTTGTCAGAGAGAGCATGCTGCAAAATACACCACAGGATCTGTTAAACTGGATTTTGATTATGCTGTGTATCTATATCAGCTGCTCATATATACAGCTTTTATATTGCTGTCCTGTATGTTTCCCACTAATTGGTAGCTCATCTTGTTTTACATATAGTGGTTTTTCTGTTTGAACAGTCAACAGAATTTGTTATTTAACAGGCTCCTACTATGGGAGATGGTTTTTCACCTTAATAATAAAATAATAAAGAGGGTGTTAGAAATGCAACTGCCATGAACATATACAGATGTAAATGTTCAGATGGAAAAAGAAAAATCATCAAATAACCATTCTTGAAAAATTATCTATACAATTACAAACATGTATTGTCCCCAAAATCTCATTTAACTAGCAGAATTCATCTTCATCTTGGTGGGTAAATTGGGTCTGACTAAACCATTTATGTAATCTGTACTTTACATTTTCAAGTTAAAACCATATAGTATTTTCCTGACAGCAAAAGTGAAACTACATATCTGAAAACCCATTCAATAATGGCAATGTATTGCAAGACAATGAAATGCATTACTCTTCTGCCACACAACCTGAGCAATAATGCTTCACATAGTACTGCAAAGAAAAAATAACTAAACAGATATAGATAAGTACAAGAGACATTGGGCAGATAAGGCAAATGCTACGCAGAGCAGAGATTTCTGATCAGCCTTTCTCTTTATATGACTTTCACAAGTCACTAGAAAAGAGAGGTTCAGAACTGAAAATCAGGTACTGAGACATTTTCCAGGAAAATGTTTTCTCACTCCCCTTTCAACTTGAATACTTGGGTTGGCTTTTGCATCTATCTTATCTTCTAGAGCACACATATTTTCATTCTCAGTCCTCTGTTACAGAAGTATAAGGTAAGAAAGCAGAACATATTTAGGTCACCTTGCAACCTTCTTTAGTCCCCTGATACCTATATGGAGTGAAAATATGAATGAAAAGCATAAAGAAATGACAGGGAGGAAGCAGATCCCTGAGGTCCGAAGGTGCCTCCGATTTCTTTACTTTCCATCTGCTTGGACATTCTTTATAGTGAAGTAAAGTATTAACCTTAAGGTATTCACAACTTTTATCCTTGCTCTTGCTTATACTCATTCCTAAATCCCTGTGAAAGGCTCTGAAAATATCACCCTAACTCTCAACCTGAAGTCTCCAAATAGCAGGACAGAAAACTGGAACAAGAGCCTCTTCCTCCCACCTCCTCTCTCTCCAAAAATAAATACATGAAAAATTAATGCATGGAATCTTAAAATGTCAGGGAATTAACTTTCTTTAGTACATGTATATTTTCCTTCTCACAAGGTTTGCTGTTTCTAGCCAGCCATCAGTTAAACAGGTTTGAAACAAATATAAACAATGGTCTCTCAATCATCATCCTCTTCTAAAAGGGCTGCAAGAACAAGCTCACCTTATTAGGCTCCTGTCTATATCCCCGTTGTCGCTTTTTCTTTGCAGAACCATGGCATGGTTGAATGCTTATAAATTAAGGCATTTACCTCCTTCTCTCAAAATGAATTTGCCTTTTCTCACTTGGAATTATAATAGATTCCCTGGGAGGGTATCTATAGATAAAAATCTCCTCTTAAGGTGCTTTGTGCTTCCAGGTGAGACTTGGTGGCTCAGATGTCTAAAGCACAAAGTTTCAAAACTCTGACTGGACTGAGTGAGGTTGATTCCTCGCAGAGAATGAAGATGATGATACAGGCCATGATTCCATAGGAACTGACTACTTCTGGCTCATGGATTCTTTCCTGTACTGTGAAAGGGTCAACAGAAAGGGGGATGCTGTTAACTTCTCTACTTACTAATGGCCTCTGATGGGCCAGGCCTAGTCCTTGGGACTGAAGTTACCAGCATCGAGAAGGGATCCAGCCTGTGGCTCCAACATTGTGAACAACTCTTCTAGTTCACTGAACCCTAATTTTATAAAAGGAGAAACTTTAAAGAGAAGGAAAGGCTGATGCTAGCACAGGAGATATCCCCTTAGCAAGCCTTTCTAGTTATTCTCCTCAGATTATCCATATAAAATGACTGATTCTTTCTGGATCCCAGTTTAGTTATACATGAACAGAGCTGCTGTTTCACAAAGCAACTCTTCAGAGAGTGGAACATGAGGACAGCAGCACATGTGCACCCTGGAAACCAAGAGTAAAATATATCATGCCTTCAAAATTAGGTGACAACAGATCAATTATTCTTAGGATTGCAGTTTGGAAATAAAAGGTGTAAATTCTGGTGAATTTACCCCCACCTGAGATCCCTGTCTCCCCTCCAAATTCTTTTGGCTCTTAGATCAAGTAGGAATTGTCATGGCTACCAAAGCAATGTTTCCATCTTTGCAAGTCTAGATGGTGTTTTCAAACTGCACAGCCTGGCATCTGTAACATCTGCTATTGAGGTGATATGCTGACACCAGCAACACCAGAGATCAGCAATTGAAATGAGCCTACAGACAAACCTTCAGAGACACCATTATCTCATGTGAATAGAATGGTCAAGACACCGACTCAAAGCTGACCAGAGCATTTATCAGAAACTTTACAGCGCTGTAAAATGCTGGACGTTGGCAATCTCAACATTTTGAAGTACATAATCTTAACAAAAAAAAAAAAAATTTCTGGTGAGTCCAAAAGCTTTCAGCTTCCAGCCTGTGTTTTTTAAATACATGTTATTCACTTATGGTTTGGTTGGACATTCAGTTCTTTAGTGAACTCAAATGAGTAAGTACCCAATATGTATTTCTCCATGAGAAACCTCTGTGTTTTCCACCTCCAATGAGATGTTAGGGCTAGCACTCATGGAAAATAGCTTTTGGTAAAATAGGGCATCTCACCATATTATGGATCTGTGATAACTGTCTCTAATAGCCCATTCATACAGACTGTACTGGTAATGCTAGTAATACTATTGGTGAGTCTTCTTCAGTTCAAGAAATAAAAATTTGGAGTGAAACTTCGACATGAATCACTGATTCTCAGGAAAAGCAGCAGTATCAGACAGCTTAAGAAGTAGACAATCATGTGTACTGAAAATAAGCATAACAATAAAGAAATGCTTCCACTTCCTGCCAGATGAAAGGTTCAAAGAGTGATTGAGGTGCCTAACAATAGGTGTCTAAGGCCTAGGCTGTCTGATGTATTGTACAGAGAATGGAAGATAGAGCACAGGATCTAAAGAAGCCTTTTACACATTTCTGCGGTGGCGGCTGGTCAGAAATACTAGGGCATGTCAGATGGCACCAGGCATTTACACTGCACAACTGTGAATCATTTCCTAAGTGACCACTATCACTGACACATGAAAAAAGAGTTTGGTCTTGTAATTCCTCCTTTGAGTATAAAAATGGATTGCAATAATACAACTCAGAGCTTTTCAGGTTTGAGAAAGAAAATAAATGAAACAAAACCCAAAAAAGTAAAATCTTCAGCTAGCAAGGGGAAAACTTGAGATGAGTTATAAATACTGCACTGTCTGAAAAGTACAGGAGGGCAGAATAGGAACACAGGTGAGAAGCTGTGTGAGTGCCAGTGCTGATTTTATCACCTTGTTTTCCCAGGGGGAGTACATAGAGTCTTGAAAAACCTGCTCTTAAATGTTTTCCTGCTTATCTACAAAATGTGTTGTGAATCTGACAGTGTCCTGTATTACCAGAAAATTTTGTTCAATTGTGTAATTTTATAGAAATTCTAGAAAAATATGGAAAATCTCTCTATTTAAAGATTCTTAAAATTAACACCTGGGATCCAGGAGTTGTTTTCTTCATCCTCTTCAGTAAACAGAGCCAAAATTTGCATTTTAATATTTTTTTATAAAGTCTAATGCTGGCACTTCTTACATTATCATTACAAAATACAATTGGATACTGTACTTGACTTTAAATATTTATAGAGAGATTTTAAGTCTACCTCTCTGTTCAGTATAGAAGTATACAAGAGGGATGTATGGCTTGATCTACAGCCAACTGAAGTTGATAGGAGACTCCTTTAATGAAAGAGTTCAAGAGAGCATCACACAAATTAAATGGATTAAAGTTTCCAAAGACATTTGAACTGCTTTTTAGAAACAGTTTTAATAATTGAAATGTACATTATTTCCGCCTTATCTCCAAGCCCCAAATACATACTGTGTAATAGTGTTAGCTAGAGTTAACCTGACTATATTAGGCAGAACATTTTATAACTACTTACTGTATTATTCTATTCCCCCCAGGCTTCATTTTTAATCTTCTCTTTCTCGTTATTTTGTTGCTTTTAATTTTTTTTCTACTTGATGCTTTCATAGCATGGACATAAGGAGATGCATTTTTCATTATCTGAAATTTTAGGTCTAAATACTGAGTGGGGAAAAAGATTTCAAGGGAATCCTATAGTGATAGGCTGGTGCACACATTTCTCTAGCTTTTACAGTTATTTGTTACTAGAACTGTTGACCAGATTTGTGAAGTGGAGCAGTGTAATACAGAAACAGGGATGACTGAACAAGCCATTCAGTCCTCCAAACAGTCCAAATATTGCTTGCCATTTCTGCCCTGCAAATAGACTCATGTACTTCTAGAAATTTATACAAATTATACATAAAATTGACCACCATTTTATTTCCTGTGCATACTGCTGCATTGAAAAGAGAGCTGATAGGGACAGAAGTTGGAGAAAGGCTTTTCTTCTTGCTCACAAAGCACATTAATAAAAAATGCCTGTGCAGTCTCAAGGGCACCCTCAGTAAATTTGCTGAGAACACCAGTTTGGGCAGGAGCATTGTTCTGATGGGGAGCAGGAAGGCTCTGCAGAGGATCTGGACAGGATGGATCAATGGACTGAGGCCAGTGGTTGAGGTTCAACAAGCCCAAGTGCCAGGTTCTGCACTTGGGTGCCGTCAAGCCCAAGCAGCAAGGAGTGGCTGGAAAGTGGCACATCAGAAAAGGACATGAAGGCGCTAGTCAACAGCTGAACATGCGCCAGCAGTGTGCCCGAGTGGCCAAGAAGGCCAATGGCATCCTGGTCTGTATCTGCAATGGTGTGGCCAGCAGGACCAGGGCAGTGACCCTCAGCACTGGTGAGGCCATGCCTCAAGTCCTTGTCCAGTTTTGGGCCTCTCACTCAAAGAAAGACATGGAGGCTCTGGAGGGTGTCCAGAGAAGGGTAGTGGAGCTAGGGAAGGGTCTGGAGCACAATGATGAGGAGCAGCTGAGGGAACTGGGTTTGTTTATCCTAGAGAAAAGGGATCTCAGGGGAGACCTTTTCACTCTCTATAGTTACCTACAAGGAGATTGTAGCCAGGTGGGGGTTGGTCTCTTGTCCCAAGTGAAAAGTGACAGGAGAAGTGGAAATGTCTTCAAGCTGTGCCAGGGGAGGTTTAGATGGGACATTAAGAAACATTTCTTCACCAAAATGGTTGCCAAACATTGGAGTAGGCTGCCCAGGAAAGTGGTTCAGTTACCATCCCCGGAAGTATTTAAATGATGGGTGGATAAGGCACTTGAGGGCATAACCTAGTGGCATATTTGGCAGTGCTGGGTTAACAATTGGACTTGATCATCTTAGAGAACTTTTCCAACCTAAAGTAGTCTATGGCTCTAAATTCAAGTTAGCAAAACTCAACATTTCAAGATCTGCCTTCCTAGTGGCAGGGATACATAAGTATTTGAGCTTCTATGGGCCACAGCCATTCCCATCTGAAGTGTGGCAGAAGTTATTTCTGAAAGGATGTCTTCACTCTGACACCTGTGAGAAGTACAAGTGTTGCACACATGACAGGGACATGTCATGGCCATGCAAACTGAGTCTCCTATTCATCCCCACTCACCAACGCTGAAATAAACAGCATTGTTCTCATCATTTTCAGAGCAATTGCTGCCATCAATAAGGATTTCAGTTACAATCAGGATCTCAACAACAGTCTATTAGCATGACCTTCCTTCAGGTCAAGGAAGAAAATTGCCCTCCTAGTAGAAGCTAGGAGGGAGATTGTTTTCTCAAAAAACAGGAGAAAGTGACAATGGCTTGATGCAAGGCTGTGCACCAAAGTCATGTGTGCCCTTCCTAAGCACCTCCCCAATAATATTTTGCTGACAAGAAGCACATTCATGCCAAGATTGTGGTTCAGAAATGGCTTCTCCCATGGTCATTTTATCAGAAAACTTAGTAGTTTTTTACATTTTTTCCTTAACGTTTACCTTCTTTTCTACCCTGGACCATATTTCCACAGACTTTTGAATATTTTTCACCTTATCAGTCCCTTCATGGAGACTATGTCTACTTTTGGTATGGTACTGTTCTGTTCCCACAGCACAAAAGTGCTTAGTTTATCAATAATTGAAATTTCTAACTTAAGATCAGTATATGCAAGATCTGGTGAAATTTATTATCTTATGATACACAAGAGGTCAAATCAGATGATCTAGTAGTCCCTTCTGGCATCGTCTCTACAAAATATATATGTAGTGTAACAGAGAAGTATATAACATTACTGACTTAGAGCAAAATTATTATGATATATATCTGGCCATAACACTGCAGCAGATCAATATAGTCCATTAATGTGCAGGTTATTTAGCTTTTAACATTGCTTTTCAAAATGATTATTTTTTGCGTTTATACTCTGAGTTTACTGCTGAGCAAAGAACCCAGATTTGGGGTCACAAATGTGTGGTACCAAATGTGCACACTTCACAAGAATAATGCATTTGTTTATGACATTGATGGTAGAAGATTTATTATGTTCTTGACTATTCATTTCTTCTTTTTTATGCCCTTAGATTTTGTAAATGATATGGTAGGTATTTTCAGGGTCATCACCCTGCAACTTTAACTGTTAGTTTAAATAAAAGGTCTGATTCTTTAGAGAATCCTGCAGAGTTTGGGGCTCAGCACTGAATGTTGCTGAGCCAAAGGAAAACAAGTGGGGCATCTTCATCTCTTTTCATTCAAACAACTTTGCACTGTGAGTATAAAATATTGCCAGGCAGATACGGAATGTTTCTGTGGCTGGAGTATGCACAGAACTGAGAGCAACTCTAATGCAATCAAAGAAAAAGCACTAGAGAAGGTAAATTTCTTCAACAGTTTTTACTACTGGAAGTACAGCAGTTTTACTAATGAGCTTCACTCCAAATACTCACAGTTACATGTAAAACAAATAGCAGAAAGAGACTGAGATACTTCTATTAAACTACCAAGTAGCTCACTGAAAGCCAGCCCTGGAGGGTGGGAAGATGTGGAAACTCAAATAAACAATGCTGCAAAATAGTTTTCAATACTCTTCCATATGTGCTTTCTAAGTCCAAATGTTTACCTGCAAATCCACCAAGAGTTCATCTGGGTCTCTGAAGGTGGTACTCGCCCCTCTCTTTACCCTTCCCTTCCCCCTTGCTGAGAGATGTATTATGTCCCAAAATACTACAACTGTGACAAAATACCCTTTGCCCATTCCCCATGTTTTCTAGGCATTAAAAGAGGCAATAAATTATCCACTTCAACTACTCACACCATGCAAGGTTAAACACTTTCATCCTTAAAAGAATAGGGCTCTATGTATTGTGACACAGGCAAGTTCAATGTGAGTTCATATGCATTCCTTAATTTTAAATATGATTAATCATATCAGGACTTTAATGAATGCTGTTCTTTTCATATCAATAATGAATCCACTCAGGTACACTGGATTACTTAGAACAGAATCATGTCTGATTTCTAGCACTTTTTTGAGAGTATTAAAAATACGTGCTCCTCATCCAAACAAAGCTTTTAGAGCCCAAGGCACTCTTACCTGCTAGAACCCTTGAGCCCCCTTTGACAAGAAATGAAAATTCAAACAGAAATCACTTTTTTAGTTTATAGTTGCTTTGGTACTTTGGGCCTTACAAGTCCATTTCATGCTTCAAGTGCCAGCTGATATTTCAAACAAAGCTTTTAGGTCAATACTGTATTTTAAATACAAGCTTTTTATCTTGAGAATTTTAACTGTTATTTGAAAGTCAATATATTTATATCCACCTATTTTTTTTGTTAAGATAAAAATTTTACTATGCTTTAAGGGTACATACCTTTAACTCTCCAATAGAAGACAGAAGTCCTGCCCCATAAGCACGCAGTTGTCCTTCTTGCTTGCAAAGGCCAAATTCAATCGTAAAGAAATAGCACTGTAAAATATACAGATATTCAGTACAAACAGTATAGTTGCAAACAGGCACTTCAGCAATAACAATCATACCATATTCACTTGCCCATACCACTTCTTTAGAACCACCTACTTTGAATATAATCTCAGATAACGTGTATTGTTGCTGCTAAGTAATTTAAATGTCATGTTCAGCAGTAAGGAAGCTTTGCACAAAAATTTGGGATTTTGTTCTTTGTCTGGGTACACAAGCAGTTCACAGGAATGGCCAGTTAGGAACAGACAAGCAAGATTATTTTTAGTCATCAAAGGTGCTGATAGTAACCTACAGAGGTTTTTGAAACCTTCAGAAATAAATGAGATGCCTCAAAACAGAATCCTGCAAGGCAGTTGGTCTGACTGTCTAGGAGCATCTGAAGATCTCTAAGATGAAGTTCAGAGCACTAAGTTTTAAGCTCAAGCTGATATCACTTTAAAGTCTGAAACATACTTGAGTTGTCTTGAGTTAAAATTAATTTACTTATATGTATGTGCTTAAGAGCCTTCCTGAGTTGAGGCCTTAGTCTTCACTAGATTTTAGTCTGTCATAAATAAAGAATAAATATGGCATTTGGCTTCTTAAATTCCAGAAAGAAAATTATATTCAGTCAAATGAATTCACTTGATCAATGAATTCACTTGATCTATAACAATTGTTTTTTAGGTCTACATTCCATCTGGTAATGTATCTGACCTGTAAAACTGATGACAAGCTACAAAAAGAGATCTGTTAAATCAACATTACAGTCTTGTATCTAATTTTGCTGTACCCACCTAACCATAAGGAAGACCATAAGAAGTACTGACAGCCTACTGTCCACTAAATGCTAAAGATCACAGTCACTTCTGCTCTTGTGGTTTTACTTTGTTTTTTACAACACATCATATACTTTTTGATATTAGATCAAACATTTGAGATTAAGATGGTAACTATTTCATATTGTAAACACATGAAGGTTTTAGGAAGTTGAGATCTAAGTTACACAAAAATATTGCACATATATATACACATATCCCTATATATGTTTGTGTTTATTACATAATCTGACAATTTCAGGTTTTGCACAAAGAGGCTATAACTCCACCGAGCCTAGAAGATTTATATGTCTTTGCAGGAGATATAAATTTAGGATAAGAAATTACCCAATATTTTGTACTAAATTTTAATTTTTTTAAGTAACTTCAGAATACATCCTAATACAATGTTGGTTTTTTTCCATTCACTTCCTCCTTAATCCAAACTGGGTTTCATGTTAAATATAGAAGACCCCAGATTAACAGCTCTTTTAAGTTCAACCAATCTTTAGAAATTCAAAAATCAGTAAATTCTTAGCCTCATAAAAGTTTCTGTACAGCTAGTGATTCATACAGCATAGCCCTATGAGGAAGGGTATAATAAAAAAAAGAATAAAAACTGATGAGCCCCATGTCTGATCCAAACCTGCTCAGTCAGCTGAGAAGAAGGAACCAGTGGCAGAGACTTCAAACATCTCAAGTCTGATTCCATCACAGTAGTCAAATGCAGAGATATCCATAAAGGAAGGTGAAAGCACAACATCATCAAATAAAACAAAACAAAGAAACAACCCAAAAAAATCAAATTTCCACCTCTGGCTTTGGTACTGACTCAGGTAAATCAAGCTGGCATAAAATTTTTCAGTACATCAGCTGATATCACCACTTAGGAGGTAGGCAAGAAAACCAGTTTACAAAAATAAACCAATCAGGGACAAACAGCCAATAACACAAAATGACAAAGGCATTACAGAAGTAGTGAGTGAAGCTGAGAGACCTATCACAAAGAGTACAAATTTCATTTCCTTGCCTAAATATTTTGCCAGAACAGCTATCAGTAGGCCACAGTCCTGCTTGTATACATGCTGAAACTAACATACAGCTAGAAACTAACTACTCAGCTTTACACTTAAATCCTACTAACATCTTTGAATTTGTCCCCTTCTTCCTCAGGGTTCCATAAAGAAATCTATCAGATAGTAGTTCTTATGCTGCTAACATTAACATCCTGACAGACATACAGCAGGATTAGACTCCTGATAAAACACAGTGATCATGCTCATTTTCATTTTTAAAACCAACAGCAGCTAAAAAGGAGTCTGGTGTTTATATGTTTTAGATCTGTAAGAGCTGCACTTAGTCCCCACATGTGAGGCACCTCTACTGTTGACCTTTCTTAGGCTGAAGAAGACCAAAAAAATGTCATGCTGCTCCCAGGAGAAAGTCAAATGCCCATTTAGCAATCTATAGGGCCAGCAGAGGGAAGGAGGAGAAACGTTCTCCACTCCTCTGAGGATGTGCTCTCTGGGGGCTGGAAAGCACAGAAGGCAGAGGAGCCAACACAGGCACTGGAGAGAGCAATCCCTGCTGCCCAGGGTGAGCAGTATCCATGAGATAGGTAGGACTTGATTCCACTTCCTCCTTGATGGATAGACAGTACTTAAAGAGGGAGCTTCTTTTGCATTGGTTCAAAAAATATTATAATTGTTACTGTAATAAAAGGGAGTCATATTTATGAGCTAGGGCTTGCTGGTGAGAGCCAATCTTTACTATTTATAAGACTTGTACTCTCAGTATAACTAACTAAAATAAAACACATAAATGGCAATGTGTCTGCCTACTACAAACTTGTGATATCAAACTGCAGCATTAAGAAAAGCCTTTCAAATTAAAAGCTGATTTATAAATTTGCCACATGCAACAACTACAATTTTGTATTTAAGAGTGCCCTGCTTAACCAAGAAAGTGCAAAGCTCACCCAATGCTGCCATCTTCAGATCGGTACTCAGCAATACACAATTCCCCCCACAGGTCTACTCACACCTGCAAAGGTGGCTCAGTGCACTAGAGTTTGCAGGCTTTGGTAAGTTGTGTCCTCAAGCCTACAAACATCGAGGCAAACTGATAAGGAGTTTAAATATTAACTGTAAAGCGACACTTTTTATTGACCAGACACATAGATACCCCAGTAAATGTGTCCTTTGTATGGCAAACTACAGTTGTGATATTCTATATTACACACAGGATAAGCCCACTGGAGTGGGAATGACTGAACAAAGCAGTGGCTGTTGAGATGAATACATCTTTTGAAGCCTCACCTGAAGACAAATTTGATTACTACACTGCTGTTACATGTAGGCTGGTGCAGGCACAAACAGGGTGATCCAGGCTCTCCTGGTCTGATTTGAAATCTTGGACTTCTCTCTGGCATACTCCCTAGACTGTGGCCCCAAATATTTGGTTCCTCTACAAACCATAGCATATCTGAACTTTACTTTCAGGTCCACCTCACCCTTGGGGTGAAGTGTGTGTTTGCTACAATTATAGATAGGCTCTTGAAGTAGGAAAGGTGGCTTTCCATGTTGTATAAATTCTGAAGTTCTCAAAGAGCCTTATAGTAAAACGCTGCTCTGTTAGTCAAATCAGCAAAATGAGATGAAGAATCAAAATGCCAAATGAGGGATTAGAAATCATTTTTATGCCAAGTGACATCAATCAAGACTGTGCCAGGAGCACAAGACTGTCTTCAGTATCATTTAATTCTATTTCTCTTATTTATTCAAAAATATATGAAAGATACTTTACAGTCATGCTCATGAAACACTATCTAATGGGTTCAAAATTATTCAACAGATGCATGGAAGAAAACCCAATTAAGGGCTATAAAATACTAATATAGCAGATTTCTTCTTTCAGAGCCCTTGAATCAAAAGTCATTGGCAAGTAAAGCAGTACATCAGGAAAATACCACCTTATGGCTTTCGACATATGCTGTCCTGCAGACATCTGCAATTGCCTGGGTCACAGACAAGATACTGGGGTAGCTCATCTGGCCAAGTGTATATATGATTTAAGGAGTCAGATCAGTTGTCCTGCTATTGATAGGAAAGATATAGAGAACATCAAGCCCTGGCAAACTCCAAACCTGGTCTTCAGGGTAAACATAGTGTCTCTTCTTTGTATTCAGATACTGCCCTGCATTATAAACTGGACTACCATAAGAAAAAGAAAAAATCAGTGACAGCTATGACAGCTAACAGAAAAAATCGTTATTCGAGGGTGCTTAGATATTTTCAAAGGCAGGAAAAAAGGTCTGATAGGCTCAATTCTCCTCACCTGTCTGGTTTCTAAGCCTTTGAAAATCCCTTCTCACACCACATCATTTTGCATTTGAGAATCTCCTTCCTGGGATCTGTGCAAAAAACTTGTGCATAGTGTTGAGTCCTAGTGTCACAGAGTCAGTAGAAAATCTGACTTTTTCATAAAAAGGCCTTTCAAGCCATTGCACTTTGCTTCATTTTCTTATGGTATAGCTAGAGACTGATACTTACGTCACTTGGCAATTTTCAGCACAAAGTATAGCGTGAGATTTTATCTGTTTTCTGAAAGTACCTTATGAAAATGTTGTCAGGATGAGTCCTGAGAACACCAATCATGTCAAGAGCTAATTCACTTGTGCTCCCTTGTGCTACAAGTGGGGAAGAATGACAGATTCGTGTAATTGCACGACTGCAATCCTGATACATGGGCAGAAGACTCACCACTACATGAACTGCCAATGTCATGGGCCTACAGCTCCAAACTGATGTGTAATAGCACAAATAATCACTTTATATGTACATAAAATTAGTTGCCCTGAAGACAATACAACTATTAATATATGTAAGTACTTGAAAGACCAGCACCAAATAAATACCCTTAAGAAAATATATTTACCTTGTTTCTACAGGATTTCAGATTTCAAAGGATATTTGACTGTATCACTCAATTCAAATGCATGTGATATGTTCACAATATGCAGAGATTAATTCCTTTTTCTTTAGGAGTCCTTTGGTATTTTTGCTCTAAAAATATTCACCTAGAGATTAAATCTCTCATATAGTTGTAATTATCTCATAAATAAATAATTATATACCACTGAAAGACTTTTAAAAATCCCATTGTTAGAAATTAATCCTAAGAATTAAT